AATTTGGCGGCAAGTAATGCCAATTTTTTGGGAGTTTGTTGATTCAGATACCTGGAATAGGCAGGAGCAACCGTTCCCTAAGCTGCTGCTTGAATCGCTCCGACAGATGCAGAATCTGGAGCACCTCCTCCTCCTCGCCTCCAACGAGGATTTTTATACGCCAGCTCTGAAACACTGCACTTTCCCCCAGCCAATCAACTGCGAAATCGCTATTCCGGTGAATTACAGCCCGAAAGATGCTCTTGCCCCTGACTGCTCGTCTCGTTCCTCGCCCGCCATCCCACATTGACCCGCGTCCGCATCCGCAATCGTGATCATTATACGCCTGCACTGATATACCCAGAAACCCGCCTCTCGTTGCCGAATCTCCAGCAGTACCATGGTCACCCTTGGTTTCTTCACGTTATAGATACGAACTGCCTGCGTGAGGCCGTAATCAATTGGACCTACGGCGAGCGGCTGGACATAGACCGCACCATCCTCGCACTGAAGTCCTCCACGCGCGCCGACTCGGACGTCCCATTTGTCTTAACGATGGAATACTCCGGAGACTATTCTGCAGGGATCGTGGATTCTGTCTCGCGGCACCTGCCCAACATACAAACGCTCCGATTGTCTGGCTGCCAGGGAATTAATGTGGCCGCGGCCGCTGTATGTTCTACATTTACCCGTGAGCGCCGATTCATTCGAGATTAATATTGCTGCAGGAAACGACGCGCCGAATCACGGTGTGCCTCCCGCGCTTCACGCGCCTCGCCCATCTGGTCCTCGAATACCATGCGGCGGGGCGAGGCGAACCTGCACTTGACGCGGCCGCGGATCGGACGGCCGTCGAAATGTGGGGGGATGCATGTCCGACGTTGGAAGGATGCTTGCTTAATGAGTCGGCGAAAGCGATGATGAACTTGAACGCACTGATGTTATTTCATTGCACTGCAGACGGTTATGCGTGGAGAAAGGAAGGCGAAGGCTGGGTGGGCTACCCGAGGGCCAATTTGGCGCGGCAGCGCGAATTCCGTTGAGGTCGTGGCGATTAGTTTGTTGAATACTTTGTGAACGCTGCCGTCTTGTGGATGCGATCATTATTTCTTGAGCCACGGTTAAACGGCGAGTGGCTGTACGTGCGGATAGTCTGAGTGGTATAACAGTGTGCGGTGTGGGTAAGGTGAGATATGGTTGTATTCAAAATCCGTATCAAATCTCGCCCTGCTGAATAGGAATGAGGCGAGGCGAGGTTAATCTGGTGGATGGGCGGGGAAGACAGATCTAGAAGCTTTAGGGTGGGATCTGGCTGCGAGGTGAATTGTGACGAGAATGCGCCCTTGAGGCTGAATCCCAAAGGTAGTTTATGCCATCAAGGAAAGTAAACACAAATACATAATAAGTACCGCTAAGACTCAATGAGATGCATGGTCCAGAGATCAATGATGTCTCTGTCCGAGCCCTCTAGCAATAAAAGATCCAATCCGTCCTGGCGGAGTACGTCTAGACCACTTCGCGTTTCAGGATCTAGCTTCGGTCCAGCATCTGTTATCAGTGTGGCGGATTTGAGAGCACAGCCTTTTGTGTTCCATCGAGATCGAAGCATTTGCAGATAGAGGGTATACTGTAATCGATGTAACTTTCGTCCCACACCCGAAATAAATCGCAGATAATTGCGGGGCGAGCACACTCCCAGTGGGATTAGGAATCGTCAAACGAGTAATCAACGCGTTGCTGGCTTCGTATGCGGCGTTCCAGTCCCGGTCGATGTGGTTGGTTATTATGGCGAGTTCGGTGACGGAGGGACATTTTTGCAGGATCTCGGTGACTGTATGAGCGGCGGGTGTTCCTGTGAGGGCACAGCCGTCGCAGAATACAACGGGAGCGTGTGACGAAGGCCTCGAGATGGCGAACAAAATGATCCGGCTCTTCGTCTTCCTCCAGATAATGAGCTATTTCCTGTACAGCGGGTGCTCTGAGGTAGCTCAATACCTCTGCATCTGAGATATATAAACACCTGAGTCGTAACAAGTCCGCGAATTCGCCGGAATTCGGCCACGGTTCCTCGTCGAATTGGATCTCGATGCGAGCCTGGACAAGGTTCTTCGCCAGCTCCAGAATACCCCGATGCACCTTCCATGGGGTGTCGAGATTATAACGCGTAAGTTGGTGTGAGGGAAGGAGGACCGAGACATGACGATATTCGTTGAAGATGTTGACTTCGAGGAGACTTGAGGCGGTACGGAAGCAATCAATAGATTCGACGTCTTCCTGACTTTCTGAGTCGTTCCACTGTATCCACAGTCTACGCAAAGATGGGAGGTGACCTTGAAGAGTGGAGAGAGGAGGGAGCAGGTCGGAAGTTAACAGGATATAGAGTTCCTCCCAGCGTGGAGATTGCTCCATCAGAAGCCGGAAGATCTCGATTTGAGGGCGAGAATTTGTATGGTCGTTCCCGTAAAAACGAATCCGGAATATACGAGCGCGCGCCAGTTGAGCTCGGAGCATTGGCAATGAATAGAAGGATGACTCGTCGCAATCGATGACAACCAATGACCACAACGACGGAGAGAGCCACCGCTCGCCAGCGGCCGCTGATCTGAGTTAACAGCCAAGGGCTATCGCTGAGGTCGAACTTGGAACGGCCCAGTCTTTCCACGACGGACGGTAACGTCCACGAAAAGATTTCGGAAAGCACTTCGGGTGGCATTCGTCTGAGCGGCGACAGCACCGCATTATTCTGCGCCCGATATCTCGACAATGAGACACGCTCTTCTTCCAACTCCCGCAGCCGATCACGAAGAGGTGACATCTCGTTCTCGATATTCACCAACCGTGCGTCTGCGTTCGCCACGAACAATCGGATGAAGATGATTTCAGGGCCTTCTGGGGGTGCGTTGGTCGTGAGTAGCTCTTGTTGCCCCTCAAGCGTTCCGAGAGCCGATGCGACATCGATAACCGACGCCGGCCCTTCTGTCCGAGGGGCACCACATTCGGAGCAGACAGAGGGCATCTGAGGCGCATATAAGCAACATGTGCTGGGTGAAGCCAAAAATGGGTACAGTGTAACGAAGGAGCAGGTGTAACGGGATCCGAAGGCGTTGGGAGATAGAAGAAATCGAGAGTAGGCTCAATTGTACGGGTCTTGGCACGTTTCAAGAGTGACTGAGGTTATTCAAGGTGGCGAGGGACGTCGGTCCCAGCAATCTGGCTGTCCAAGACGAGCAGTGATTTTAAAGTCGCGGAGTTTTGGTACCGTTTGCGTCACAGCCACTGAACAAACGCGGGATCACATTTTGATGAGATTTTGATCCGGGGCCCTAACTCGGACTCTCGGAGAGCCGGTTCAGAATTTTTAATTTTTAATCAGGCGGAATCATGGTTGCTCGCGGACGGGTACGACCAAAGAAGAAAAAATGTAGCAGACAAAATAGCCCAAGCGATAATGGTCATGACCCGGCCGGATCGAACGGGGCCTTCTGCCCACTGCGTTACGTGAAATGAGAGCAGATGCACACCGTGTGCTACCGGGTGTTCTTATCCTAATTTAGAACTTCATTATCTTCCAAGAGATGGTTCAATCAACTTTCAACTTCCAACCAACGGAAATTGAACCACATCAACAGACCTCAACCACAATATCAATATTGATTCGCATGGAATAGGTATTCCTTCAAGTTGTTCCATCGACCTGGGCTGGGCAGGCTGTATTTGAGAATATTACTTCCCCGGAGCGGGAGGAAAAAGAGAAATCTTCCAACGTATGACCCGGCCCCGGATCGAACGGGGTCTTCTATATGTAGGGAGTTTCGATTCAAGTCAATGAGAACAGATGCACGCTGTGTGCTACCGGGTATCCTTACCCTCATTCTGGCCCTTCTTATAAGATGGACACAACAACTAATACATAAACCAAGGGAAAATCCGAGTCAAACTAAGTTCAACCACACAGAAACAGTTCTCAACCACAAAATTAAATAATGTCGAGAGCTTGGGATAGCCTTGGACCTTGGGTAGTTTTTCCATTGAGGATTCAGCGTGAGGACTAGTGCTACTCGTAGAGCTGTAAATAGCTAGAGGATGTTTTGTGACGGAGGAAAAAGGGCAAATCCCTACTGCATCATCCGGCCCCGAGTCGAACGGGGTCGTCTGCCCACGAAAATGAGAGCAGATGCACATCATGTGCTCCCAGGATGTTCCGACCCTCCTTCTAAGTCTTGCTACTAGTTAGGATAAAGTTCACACAAAAAAAAGTCGTCTCCGGAATATGCCGGAGTCCTGCAACCTGCTGAATCCAAGGTGTATTCAAAATGACGTGACTTAGTGAAGGAGTTTGGCACTTCGGTCAAGTTGAGAGCCCACCAACCGAAAGAAGAGGTTCCAGATGCATCACCCGACCCCGAGTCGAACGGGGGCCTTCTGCACCACAGAACTCAAATACCTAGGTACTGCAGATGCACACCGCGTGCTACCGGGTGTTCATACCCTCATTTCGAACCTCGTTTATGAGGTGGAATGGACATTGAATGATTTCAACCTTCGACATTGAACCAACAGAAAAACTCCAACGTCAACAAACCCCTACCACGCTATTAATATACATTCTCCTTGACTAGCCATATGTACAGATTCCCTTGAGGCATGGCAGGACTAGGCTGTGAGTCCGAGGATATTATTTTATCGGAGGAAAAATTCGCTTTTGCTTATAAACAAACCATCACCCGGCCCCGGGTTGAACGGGGATCGTCTGTCCACGAAATGAGAGCAGATTCACGCCGTGTGCTACCGGGTGTACCTACCCTCTAAATCTGGCCTTTCTTATGCAGTGTAATTGCTAATGGGAATCACAAACTGATTCCAACCAAAGAACATTTATAATAGTGAACTCGGAGACTCTGAGCCCCCTCGAAATTTCAACCCGAGGCTAGATTATAAAATCGTGGATGCTCGAGGACGGGTGAGAACGAAGGTGAGAAGAAGAAGCAACATCGGGAAAAATATTTCGACCCATTTTTACATCACCCGGCCCCGAGTCGAACGGGGGTCTTCTGCCTACTGACAGAGCGACAATCCAGGGAATGAGGGCAGATGCACACCGTGTGCTACCAGGTGTTCCTACCCACATTCCTACCCTCTAAACCTGGCCCTTGGAATGGGTAAGCGAAGAGTCACAGTTGATTCCAACCAAAGAACATTCCATCCTTGCACTTTCACTTTCACTAGAAGACTCAAGTCACGTCTAAATTTGACCCCGAGGCGGAGGCGTGGATGCCGAGGGCGGATGCGACGGAAGGTGAAGAAGGTGAGGGCATTTGCAAGGTCTGGAAAATGGAAATCTCACCCAACCCCGACCCCGAGTCGACCGGGGTCTTCTGCACCGTAGCGCTCGAGCTCAAATTAACTATCTAGGTCCAGGTATGGCAGATGCACGGGTGTCGGGTGTCTCCGCCCCTCGTTTGGCCGCTTGGTAGGACGGAGTTCAGGCAGAACTTGAAATGCCTCGAAAATATGCGGCAAGGAATCCAAGGCGTACTCACAAGAAAATGAAGTCGGAGCTTGTAAGTCGTCGATAGGCCAGGTCTGAGATTTGAGGTGGAGGACCCACCCTGTAAAAAGGAAATGTGGTCAAAGACCCACCCATCACCCGGCCCCGGATCGAACGGGGGTCGAGAGCAGATGCACGCCATGTGCTACCGGGTGTTCCTACCCTCATTCCTACCCTCTAAATCCTACCCTCTCATCACAATGAAACGGAAGTTGATTCCAACCAAAGAATACTTCGTCGTTGCCTTCCACTCAGACTTGAACTCGGCCGCTTTCACTGTCAAAATTTGAACCCCGACTCCCGAGGCGGAATCGTGGATGCTCGATGAGTCGGGTGCGAGGAGAAGAATTTGCAAGAAAAATGTACCAGTAAAAAGTAGAAAAGCCTTTATAGACATCACCCGGCCCCGAGTTGAACGGGGGTGTTCTGCCTACTGGGGTATATATGCACACATCACATAATGAGAGCAGATGCACGCCGTGTGCTACCGGGTGTACTTGCCTTCCAATGCCGAGCTGTCTTGTTAGATGGTGACAACCAACCGACCATAGCTGCACTGTTCTTGAACTATGCAGAGAATAAAATTTGGTTCAACGCTCAACCACGAGGACGAGACTCGGCCGATCCGACTACTGGGGTAAGGGACGTCCGGAAGCAGCTGAAGGAAATAGAATTGTTTAGGACTTGGGATGCATCGAGCTCGAGCTTGTGCAGGGAGTCGGTGAACGTCGCCAGCCTCCAGATTATTCAGCAGCATCTCGCCCGACGGGATAGGGCAGTGCAAGATACCCGCCACGCTGCCGCGTCGCGATGGCAGGGTATTTGGCAGGGGAGGTCGTTCTTTCCCCTGGATTCGACAGGCAGATACTAGAATGAATTGAAAATGTATACCAATGTATGAATCTATGTAGGAGATGGATGATTGCGATCAGAAAAGGTAGAAGGAAGAGACGTACGTTCCGTCGTTCTGCAGGCCGTTCGTCACATATACGCGTCCTCACTACACACATGTGAGACTCCAAAGGTACTGTGGAAGGAAACGAAACGGACCAGAAATCTTTCATTGAGATTCGTCTCGATGACTGGGGCCCACAGCCGTTGATGACCGTGCGCGCTTGGTTTGCGCCAGGGACACGGTCCAGCAGTAAACGCTCGTTCTTGCTAACTTCAAGGATGTAAATGAATGTAGATTAACGGAATTGAAGCAGGATGGACCTGGCCTCTGCTGGACAAACGCTTTAACAAATGAAGCCCGTACCTCTGCTGTTGAAGGACGGATGTCGTCGACGGTTAGCGAAGCCATGCAGGGTTAAACTGGAAGAAATTAATTCAGGTGAAAGGAATATGAGCTCGCTCCGAAGCAGAAGGAGTAAAAGATCATCTATGATGGAAATACTCAAGAAATGTCGGGTCCGAGTCTTGCAGAAAGCTTGATACCGTTGTGTCGGTGGGAGCTGGAGGTTTGAGTAAATGAAATCCGTAGACGAACGCAATGAGCCAGGACCTCAATCTGAGATAGGATCTTTGAGCGAGTGAGAAAGGATCGAGGCTGAGTTGAAATAAATTTATTTGATGTGAAACGTCGCCAGCAACGACAGGTTGAAGCTTGCAGTTCGTAAAATAAGGCAGACAAGATGGGGCGTCGGGGTGAGGCATCGGCCGCTTCACGAAAGAGTTGCGGCCCGACTAACCTAGTCTTAGTGCTCGTTGTTGTGGCGGGAAGGAAGAGAAGGGAGTGGCTGTGTAGACTCGGACGGATTCCTCTTGCCATCATCACCGACACCTCGACCCTCGACTAGACTAGTCCATCGCCGTGAAATCGCACTCGTGCACCCGCTCCAGATGATCCTTACACTGAATGAATCAAGACGATACTCCAAGCTCGAGTAGCGCGTCGCGGGCTTCAACTCCACTTCTGCAGCTAGGGTGGGGCTTCTCGCCCCGATGCGTGCGCGTGGGAGGCGGGAGCGTTGAAGGATGGGGGAGGGGATCCTTCGACTTGGAGAGGCCGAGGGACGTGTAGATGGAAAGCAGACGGGTGGGAAGCGGGTGTGCCTGAGAGCCTCGTACCGCGGGATCGATGCGCGCGTTAGGATTGACCCTAGACTGTGGCTCGTCGCCGTCGGCCTCCGACTCGCGCCCAGGTCTTCGCTCCTCTGCAAGACGGTCGTTAATTCCATCTTTGCAAGAGGAATCAGTCATCAATGCACGAGCGCCCTCCGTTGGCCGAAAGTCGCGCACGCCTCGTTTACCCTCAATTGGACGCGACGCCTCCAACCCAACGTCCCTGCTCCAAGATCCGCAGTCGTCGCCCGCATCGTGCACCCGCGCGGCGGTGCCACTGAGGGCCTTCCGACACTGCCCGTCTTCCGCGCCTGCGCCTCAGCGACACCTGCCCCCCGTCCGCCGCTTGGTGCTCCACGTATACATCAACCTCCGCCTCATCTCCTCTTCGTCAACGCCGCCCGTCCCCAGCTTGGTGCTCCCCATCGACAGCACATCCACCACCTTTCCCCCTCTGCGGCAGCGAGCCACACGAGGACTCGCCGCTCAGCCCTCCCACCGCAGGTGTATCGGAGACGGGAAGGGTTTGCGGGAGGATGGAAGGAGGGCTCGCTGCGCGAGGCGCGATGTTGTTCCGCGGGGGCGAGGCTGACGCCGGATGGGGAGACGCGCGGTCTGCCTGCGTCCATTTCCTTGTGAACAATATATCTTATGGCTCCACGGTCGCGAGCGGGTGCAGCTCGGGCACATTAGGCGTGGGCGTAACGCAGCTGCACCGCGTGAGGACGACGCAGAAGGGGAGACGCGCTACTGTGTCCATATTTAGCCTCTCGTCCTCGGCGGTAGCGTATCTCTGTCGCGCGATGACTGGTACAAGCTCTATGGGACGACGACGGTTCCCGACCTGTATCGCAATACTCCCTTCGCCCGCTCCGCATCCCGCGTCTGCGCTGTCCATCTCGCTTCCGCATCACGCCACCACCTTCCCTTTTCGCTGCGGGTGCCCCGCGTCCGACCCACATTCTCGGCCCTCACTGCTCCGACTCCTCGCACTCGTATCTGCATACGCGGGCTTGCCGTACTACCGTCTCAGCTGCCTGGGCCCCTGCCATCCGCTGACAGGTACCCGCGCACGGGTATTGTGTTTCGAATCCAGAATGGATGACGCCCAGATGGATCGGGCAGTGTGGTGCGGCTCTGCGTGCGTGCAGGCCCTCGCCCGCCACGGTGGGAGAAGGAAGAAGAAAAAGGGGATGGGGAGAGGGCGATAGAGGCGGCAGCAAGACGCTTCTGTGCCGAGCCGCGTAGGACGAAGCTTGCGCTCGGAGGAAGGTGTGGGGTGGGGGACCCTGGTGCGTCTCGCTTGGGATCGCGGATGCGGACTGTATGTGTGTGTGGGGGCACAGTCGCGCTCTTGCTTTGGTCACCTACCTCTCGAATCTCATCACATCGCATTTTTCCATCTATCTAGTACACACTCCCGATTCCTCCCCACTGTGCTTACTTCCCTATTACTAATTACGCTCACACTGTTCACCCGTCTAAAAACCTACTCCCTCTTCGAATACGTGCGTCTTCGCCTGTGTTCCTCTTTAGCATGGTTTTTCACTTGCGTTCTTGTACCAGTCGACTCGCTCTTGTTTTTAGGATTTTTAAAAATGTCGGACATCGGACATAGCCACCTGCGGCTACGCCATGACACGTTCTGAACCCCAGAACGGAGGAGGACAAAAGTAGGGTATGTATGGAGTTTATAGCATGGGGTATATGCAAGAGAACTTGCTAGGAGCTTGAGGACTAGTACTGTCCGCGCCTCGGGCCCAGTCTCAGGTTCAAGTTAGCTGGAATGTAGATGGTCTAATTATTTAGTTGAACTGGGGAACTATACTGGGAATGAAAAATCTTGAGACAAAGGGCCGTCCAAGGAGAGTTCGGCAACTACCTTCCCAATCTTTGCTACTCCTATTCTCTCAAAAGTACTCTTGTTCTGTTGTATTCGAGCCGTGGTCTGAGCGCCCGTTTTGTGGATTGAACGGATTTCGCGGGCGTGCGAACTCATTTGAATCTATGGTTGGACTTGGTTGGGACGAACTGTCTGACCTCGACAGTTGAATCTATAATGAGCGATTTTGCTTGGACAATTTGTGCTGGTACCTTGGGCTGTCGACGTGGGCCAAATATTCCCCAGTCGTTCGAAATTAGGCACAATTGGTGAGCTGCACAACTTCCAACACTTCCATCAGTCAACTCCGAGATCCCCGATCATCGTACAAGCACCAAGATGAAGCGGAATATTGAATTATTGAACCCGCAACGGATTCATGATTCAGATAGTCGAAGTAAAAGGAAGCATGGTAAGGCCCGACAATGATGGCTAACCTGGGCAGTGAACTTCTCAATAATAATTACGGCCCAGGCCTTGAAATCATACACATCAGACGGCCGGACCCTGCGGTGTCAAGTATACAGCCTAAATCTGAATCAACTGTTTGGATTCCGCAGCCGACCACGGGATTCTTGTGTATTAAAACCTGTGATCTCTATTGAGCCCAACTTTCAACTA